AAACACAACCAAGAAATATATATATATATATATGATCACTAACAAATGTTCATCATTTAGCACGAATCTTCAGGCATGTACGGATCTTGAGGCAACCTTTTGAACAAAAAAACATTTAAACTTCAATCAAAAGTCATCAAAAGCTCCAATTTCAGAAAAAATTATATTCAAACTGACCGGCTCGATGAGACAGACCCAATGATATAAAAACTAGTCCAATTTGAGTGAGATCAAGCCCAGATCAAATCATTAAACCACACTTGGAGGATTTTTGGAGGCATTTGAAAGGTCAAACGAATGTCGAATCTAGTGAGTTCATAGCCAAAGCGAGCGTCTTAAAAAGACGAATCCAACGAGTCCAAGATTACTCAATTCTGACATCGTTAAGGCACTCAAATGTCCATCAAATGTCATCTGATCAAAGGAAATGTCCGATCAAAATGGTTCATATTCCTGCATTAATTGCACTCAAAACACTATAAATAGAGTCTCATCGCTCACATGAAAGGGGAGAGACTTAAGAGAGAACTTGAGGCTTTGAAAAGGAGCTCAAGTCCAAGATCATCCTCGCCACCGACCTCTGTCAACCACCGCCGACCTCCGTCAACCACCGCTGACTAGACGTCGCTAGTTGACGTTGTAATTTAGAAAGCTGGTATAGAAAGCTGGTACCCCTTCCCCGCCTGTGGGACAAGGGGCATCTGTAATCCTCAACTTATAGTGATTTTTTATTGGGTCAGGCCCGTGGTTTTTCCCCTTTACGGGTTTTCCACGTAAAAACTCCTAGTGTTATCACAGTCTGATTCATTTTCATCTGAGTGTGTGCTGAATCCTCGCACAACGCTAAGATGATAATCAATTACCCTACCGCCGAGAATTTTCTAGCACACATCTGTTTGGCTCCGTCTGTGGGAAAGTTTCAATCCCACAATTAAAGTATTTACGTAGTCTACTACATGACAATCAGACACAATTTTTGTGATAATGAAGCATCCCAAGGGCGGCATGCTTCTTTGTCTTCCCACCCTGGAAGACGCTATTCTGCCAATGAAAGTGTTTCGGGTTCTTCAATAGAAGTTCGAATGCGTAGAATGGAGGAGTCTCAACTAGAGATTCTACAGCTCCTACGCGGGACTCAACAGTCGTTGCCTACACCATTGGATGAAATTCGTTTACCATTAACTCCACGAAGTACGAGAAACATACCGCTCAAGGGAACTCATGCCAGCCCTCCTCCTCAGGAAGGAACACATCACCTGTCAGGTCGTGATGTTAAACTCCTAGATACAGCAAGTTCCACTCATCCATCTCGTGCAGCTCACCCGACATCGCCACATCTTCCCGCCATTCCAGATAACGTCATTCGCATTGAACTACGACGCCTCGTCCGTGAAGAGTTCCCCTTTTAGAGAAAAAGGATCGCTTCTACACTCACCGTAACATCCATGAATCTTCTCCCTTAGCGAATGCGGTCCTCCAACACCCCATCCCAACAGGCTTTAAGCTTCCGAGCATCGATACATATGAAGGGACAATCAACCCTTACGAGCATATTGATCATTATCAAACTATCATGCACATTTAACATGCTTCTGATGCGCTTTTGTGTCAAGTGTTTCCGACTACTCTTTAAGGACAAGCTCGAACTTGGTTCTACTCTCTACCGGGGGGCACTATAAACACCTTTAACGAGCTTGCCAAACTTTTCGCGGAGTAGTTCATTGCAAATCGAAGGATCATAAATGATTCATCCCATCTCTCGGGAATTCATCAAAATGAAGGAGATTCACTCAAAGACTACTTCCGCGCCGTAGGTTTTCTGCTGAAGCCCGTCAAATTCCAGGAGTAGATCCAGAGTTACTTAGGGGGGCTTTACTTGGGGAGCTTCGCCAGGACCTTTCTACTCACCATTGATGCGGGAGACAGTTCGTTCTTATTGCGACCTTGTCCACCGTGTTGAGGCCTAAATCACTGTAGATGAGGCCATCAATGCACATAAGAAACAATTTACACAATTTAAGAAAGTTGGGAGAGAGCGCAAAGGTAACACTGGAGATAATAATCAATCTTCGTAAAGGAGAAAGTCTGAACAACAGAGGAATCGCAACATCCTTTCTTAACCTGCAGGCCAATGAACTGAATATCGACCCAAGAAAGAGTACACATCGCTCAACACATCATGTGCTAACATCTTAATGGTTATCAAAGATGAGCAAGTCGTTAAGTGGTCTCACGTCCTAAAACCTAACTCAGGGAATCAAGAACAATACTGTCATTTTCATCGAAGTCGTGGCAACTCCACTGAAGCATGTAAGCAGCTCAAGGAAGAGATTGAAATGTTAATTAAACAGGGATATCTCAGTCGATTTGTACAAAACAAACCAGCTGGTATTGATAATGCTCCTACTGGGGGCAACATACACCAAGGCAGCAACATGGGGGTCACTCAGTCCCAGTCGTAGGAGCAATTCAAACAATTGCTGGAGGCCCATCACTGATTGATCAAGTCCTTGTCACTGTACCAGGTGAACCAATGCAGAAGAAATTATGCCTCGAGCCTATAACTTTTGATGATTCAGATTTGGAAAGAGTTCGAGTCCCCCACCAAGATCCTCTCGTCATTAGCGCAGGAATTGGTTAGCCCTGCTATAATGTAAAAAGATTAGATTAATAATTTTCTTGCCCGATCAATGAGAGCTCTGTCGATGTCTTGTTCTATTCAACTTTCCTCAGTTTGGGATTAACAAGGGAAAGATTTCAACCTGCATCCTTCGGTTTCTAACTTTTTCTCTGGATCTCAGCAGAACGAGGTTCTCTAGCTGTCATCATTTCAGTAACGTTTCACCGCGACGCTTCACAACAACGATTCGCCGCAACACTTTGCCACAACATCTCGACGCGACGTTTTACCGCAACACTTTGCTGCAACTCTTCGCCGCAAATCTGCACCGTTTCTGTAACACACTTACACACTTAAAGATCAAGTTTCCAACCCTAGCAGGGATCGGCGTCGTGCGAGGTGATCAACAGATAACACAATCGTGTTACCTAAGGTAAGCTCAACCACTCCCGTCAATGACACTTAGCATTGAAAACTTCGATCTTTGAGATGAAGATGCATCTCAACAGGCTTCTCCCGTGGAAGACCCGTGGAAGACTTGGTTCAAATCTTCAAATCTCACTCTCTGACAAACATCCCTCGAGAACAGTGCAGCTTGGTTCCCTACTCTCCAATGAGAAAAGATCAGAGTATGTAAATCTTCTCCGATTGAACCAAGACATTTTTGCATGGACTCCAGCCGACATGTCTGGAGTTGACCCGGAAATAATCACGCACTCTTTAAAGGTAGACCCGACCTTTAAACCGGTCTTCCAGAAAAAGCGCAATTTTGCCCCACACCGCTTACAAGCTATTTAACAAGAAGTCAACAAGCTTCTTGAAGCAAAATTCATACGAGAAGTACATCATTCTGCATGGCTAGCCAATATTGTCATGGTGAAAAAAGCCAATGGTTCACGAAGAATGTGTGTCGACTATACAGACCTCAACAAAGCTTGTCCGAAGGATAGTTTTCCCCTCCCGTGCATAGATCAACTCGTCGATGCCACGTCTGGACATCAAATGTTAAGCTTTATGGATGCATACTCAGGATACAATCAAATAAAGATGAACCCAATGGACGAGAAGACCACCTCTTTTCAAACAGATAAGAGCTTGTACTGTTATCAAATTATGTCATTCGGGTTAAAAAATGCTGGTGCAACTTATCAACGACTCATGAACAATCTCTTCAAAAACCTTCTCGGGCGTATAATGGAGGTTTATGTTGATGACATGTTAGTAAAAAGTTTGGAAGCATCCCAACACATTTCTCATCTGGAAGAGTGTTTCCAACTCCTTCGTCAGTATGACTTACGACTTAACCCGACTAAATGTGCTTTCGGGGTCACATTAGGGAAGTTTTTGGGATTTATGGTTACCCATCGTGGGATTGAAGCAAACCCAAAAAAAATCAAGGCATTGAAAGAGATGGTGCCTCCAAGGAACATCAAGGAGGTACAACGATTGAATGGTCGTATAGCTGCCTTATCTCAGTTCTTAGTTCATTCTGGAGATAAGTATCTACCGTTCTTCAAAATACTAAGAGGAGCACGGAACACTGGTTTTCAACGAACAGATGACTGTCAGATCGCTTTCGAACAACTTAAGGCATATCTGGCTTCACCGCCCATTCTCTCAAAACCCATCCAAGGGGAAATGTTATTTATCTATTTGGTTATTTCACCTCATGCAATAAGCTCTGTCATAGTCAGAATAGAAAACACAACCAAGAAATCAGTATATTACGTCAGTAAAGTTCTGATACAGAAAGTCGCTATCCGGTGGCAGACAAGACTGCACTAGCCCTAGTTTTCTCAGCAAGGAGATTTCGTCTATACTTTCAGGCTCACACTATTGGTGTTTACACATAACTCCCTTTGAAAGCTATCCTACAAAAACCATAAGCATCAAGAAGATTAGTTAAATAGTCAGTAGAATTGGGAGAATTTGACATCCACTATTTACCGCGACCAGACATCAAATCACAGGTGTTGGCCGACTTTGTGGTAGAATGTACAGTGTTTACCGTTGATGAACCACCCTCTTCTCTTTCACAACCACCTCAGTGGACACTATATGTAGACGGAGCATCTGGAAACTCAAGAGCTAGTGCAGGAATAATACTCATCTCCCCAAAGAAAGACATTTTGGAGTACGGACTTCGTTTGAAATTTTCAGCCACCAATAATGTTGCTGAATATAAAGCACTTGTCACTGGATTAAAGCTTGTCATCAACTGTGAAGTATGAAACATGATTATCTACACTGATTCTCACTCGTTGACATCCCAAGTAGAAGGAGAAATTGATGCTCATAACCACAACATGTGTAGTATCTCCGTCTGGTGAAAACACTTCTCGCCCAAATTAAAACATGCCAGCTCATTCACATACTTTGGGAGCATGCCACTCTAGCTGATGCCCTCTCCAAGCTTAGAACTTCTATAACTGGAGATTTCTATACACCCATGGGAAATACTGCCTATAGATGACCCAAGGGAGTCATCTTGGATGGATCCCATCATATCCTTCCTCCAAGCCGCAACACTGCTAGATGATGCTACGACATCAATTCGCATCCGACGCATGACAGCCAACTTCATCCTTATAGGGGATGTATAGGGGATGAACTGATAGGGGATGAACTGTACAAGAAGGCATTTGTAGATCCATATCTCAAGTGTCTTCCTCCATGTGAAGCTGATTATGCTCTACGAGAAGTTCATTCCGGAATATGCGGGGAGCGTCTTGTTGGCAGAGCACTTGATCTTAAGATAATGAGACAAGGCTTCTACTGGCCCACAATCAAGCAAGATGCATTAGAGTTTGTGCAAAAATGCAAAAATTGCCAACTACACTCCAATCTTACACATGCACCGCTAGTAGAACTCACTTCTTTTCTAAGTCCTTGGTCTTTCGCTCAATGGGGGGTAGATATCATGGGGCCATTTCCGATAGCCATTGGACAACGAAAATTCATCATCTTAGCTGTCGATTACTTCACCAAATGGGTAGAAGCAGAGCCTCTAGCCAAAATTACTGAGGCAAATGCCAAACAATTTGTCTGGAAAAACATCATCTGTTGCTTTGAGCTTCCTGCGAAGATTATAACTGATAATGAGACTCAATTCACTGGAAGACTCTTCACGTCATTCTGCAAGGATCTTCACATTCAGTTGTTGCACACTGCCATGGCGCATCCCCAAACAAATGGGCAGACAGAGGTGACAAATCAGACGGTGCTTAAGGGGTTGAAGACTCGTCTTGAGAAGGCTGGGGGCAGTGGGTAGAAGAGCTATACAACGTCCTTTGGGCCTATCACACAACCGCACATACTCCACCCGAAGAAACTCTATATAACTTGTGTTTCGGCACTGAGGCTGTTATCCCAGTTGATATCGGTGTTCCGAACCTGTGAGTTAAGACTTTCAACTCAGATAACAACGAGGAAAAACTCCAACAATATTTTGATCTCCTCCCAGAAACACGCGATGTGCCCATCTTAGAGCTTCTTCTTACCGCCAAAGAATTGCTCTCCAATTCAACAGGAGAGTCAAGCCTCGACCTATTTCCATCGGTGACCTGATCTTGCGTAGTATTGAAGCCACCAACCATGGTCCCCAACGCAATAAATTATCACCTCTCTTGGAAGTCCCATATATTGTGGCTGCTATGATCAAGCTTGGAACCTTTAAGCTTAAGGATTCAGATGGGAAAATCTTACCCCGGACTTGGAATGCAGAGAATCTTCGTAAATATTATCAGTAACACCCTAAACATGTAATCCACATGTGTTATTACTTCGCAGTTCATACATGATCAATGAATCCCAAATATTATTCATTTACTGTCCTATACATAAAGAATATCTTTATAAAGTGTAATGACTCATTAACGAGTCACCTCATGTTCTCGACCCGAGAAATACACAACTTCGATTGTATCTGAGTCAGAGCATGATCAATCCCAGGGGGATTCGATCTATCATCTTCCATATGGGTTAACATCGCCGAGTTTTTACTCCGGTAAACAACCCTGGATAGGTTAACAGCCCTTGGTGGGCTACACCTGACCCCTTTCTCACAGGCTTGTAAGCTAGCAATGCTCCAACAAACAACCTTGGATGGGTTAATAAGTTCTCAGTGGACTTCCGTTGGCTCCTCCTATACAAATTAACTTCATGGAGTAACATTATAATGCATAGCCTCAACAAAGTTAAAGGTCACTTGCGATTTATCTCCACGATAACCTTCTTACGTGACATTGAACATCAATTGTGTCGCACCACTACGACGCTCCACCCAACGCATCACTGCAATGCCCCGCCGCGACGCTGCAATGCATCACCACAAAGCTTCACAAGGACTCTTCCTTACGACTCTCCACTTCAACACGTCGCAATGAGACACTGTCGCAACGCATTGCGTCACCGTAATTCCCTGCCACGACACATAATATCGCAACAACACCCCAACACCCCACCGCGACACTCTATCGCGACACTCCGCCACAACGCGTTGCGTCATCGTGGCGCCCCGTCGCGACTCTCCGCTGCAACGTGTCGCACCACACCGCGACGGTCCCCCACAACATGTTGCATCGCCGCGATGCTCTGCCACGACACTCTGCCGCAACGCGTAGCGCCGCGGTGTCACGCCGCCACAATGCACTGCAGCAATACGTCGCGTCGTCGCGACGCTCCCCCGCAATGCCTCGTGTTGCTACGATGCACTGCCGCAACGCTCCACCGCGACACTGCTCAACAACTCTTCACCGCAAGTCTTCATCGCAAGTCTTCCCCACAACTCGTCACCCCCCGCCGCCCCCCGCCGCAACGCGTCACCATGCCGCATGTCACAATGCGTTGTCTCCGCACAAAGCCACAGCGCTTCGCCGCGACACATCGCTCCACTGCAACATTTTGTCGTGGCGCTCTGATGCAACTCGTCGCCGCGATGCACTGCTGCAACTCGTCTGTTGACCCGACGCACCGCTGCAACGCGTCGTCGCCGCTCACAGCCACAACGTTGCGCCACAACACATCGCTCCACTGCAACGCATCGCTCCGACGCTCCGCCGCAACGCATTGCGTCGCCATGATGCCCTGCCGCGACGCTTCGCCGCAACGAGTCACACCGCACCGCGATGCTCCCACGTAACGTATTGCATCGTCGCAACGCTTTGCCACGACACGCCGCCGCAACACACCGCAGCAACGCACCGCCTCAATGCACCGTCACGACACACCACAGCGACTCTATCCTCTCATTTGGTTCTATTTATAGGTTGAAAAAGTGATGTAGCATTAAATACTCATTACTTAAAAAATAAAAAAATAATAATAATAAAAATTCCGTTTCCCACATTTTCCACTCAAGTCTTGCCTTTCAACGTTCCCTTCCACCCCCGCCCCCCCCCCCGCTCCCGCTCCCGCTCCCGCTCCCGCTCCCGCTCCCGCTCCCGCTTATTTGACATTCCCATATTCGTTTGTGCAAAAGTAATATTAATTATGCGTGTACTTAAAAGGATTATTAAATCCGCGGTGTCACGCCGCCACAATGCACTGCCGCAATACGTCGCGTCGTCGCGACGCTCCGCCGTAATTCCTCGTGTTGCTACGATGCACCGCCGCAACTGTTTTCAAATTGCAAAAAATAAACAGACAACCAGTTTATCCGTAGCAGCTTCTGCGCAGCAGCTTTCTGTGGCAGTTGCTGAGTAGTAAGCTTATTATTAAGTTGCAGTTGCCCCAAACAGACACTAAAAAGCTCACTTTTTATTTTGTATTGATACATTGTTTACGGGCTATTTAACTTCCTTACATCAACTTGTTACTATAAGCTGGACAAATTTTTGTGCTACTAATTGCTTTCACTCAAATAGTAAGTTAGACTCCTAAGCCAGAAAATATGGAAGAAATTAAAACAAAATAAGCAGCATAGAAGAGAAATTAAAATGTTATATGATGGGATACCTTCATCCAACAAAAGTTGTATTGCTCTTCTCTCTAGCTCAACAGCGTGCTTGCTACGGCCAGCTGCAGATAGCGATCTAAGGCCTGAAAGCCATTGAAATATCAACGAAAGAATAGATTATTAATTCACAAATAGAATTTGATCTTCACAATCCATCTACATACTCTGAATATATTTCTCCTGATTAGATTGGTCACAATTTTTCAAAAAAGTCTGCAGACGAACAAATCGTTCTTTCCAATATCCTTCACCCTGGCTATGAGTTTCAGTCTCAGTAGCTGGGGAGACAATATTATGATTTGTTATCAAATTCCCAGGCTTCCAAGAACCTGGAAGAGGCTCTGGTCTCAAAGGTGAAATGAAAGAAGAAGGTGATGAAAACCGAGTCGAAGAACCAGAGAGCTTTGTCTCCTCTTCTTTGGGTGATTTTGTCTCGCTCGACTGTTCCTTCCAATAATTGCTCAAACAAGGCGGATCAGCACTCTCCACGTTTTCTATGCTTAGTTTGCTTGGTTCGACATCTAGCTTACGACGAACGTATACTAAATGTCCACTGTAAATACTGTGTTGTTGGGGATGAGTAGAAGGGCTGCATGGTTGCTCTCTTTTACTTCCAGATAACTTTGCAGTTTCAGAAATGGATTCCCCATCATTATGTGGCGAAAAATCTAGAGGATTAGAAGCAAAATTATTTATTTCGCTGGGTAAATCTCTTAAAGAAACTTTTTTAGCTGAAAGTGGGGGTTGCTTTTCTCCGCTTGGCATGCTAGCTCAACTGTTGTTATATTTGTATTGTTTAAAGTTCAAAGTAATCTATAGAAGCCCTCACCTGAAAAAATTGTAGAGATGATTAATAGAATGAAGAATAATTTGCCATAGAAACTCTAAATCTCTACAGATTTATGTATGTCAACAGTAAAATATCTGCAAAAAAAAGACAAAGGATAGATAATCTAATGTAACCATTATAACACCTTAGATAATGAATCCGTCGCTAAACTAGCTTTCTCCATAAAGGCCATTGAAATAAGTGGAAGAAATGAATTCAATTCATAATTAAATAGGCACAAACTATGCCCATTTAACTTTTTCTTGGAGGAGCAAAATAAAAGGAATATACTTGTGTGAGTGCATATGACTAGTAAGAGAATTCACGTAATATATGCAAAATAAATAAATAAATAAATAAATAAGAGTTTCAAATCTTGATATTTTTGGATGATGAAATTGATCTCGCCCAAAAATAGGGGGCAACTGATACACCACTAACAAATGTTCATCATTTTGCACGAATCTTGAGGCATGCACGGATTTTGAGGCAACCTTTTGAACAAAAAAACATTTAAACTTCAATCAAAAGTCATCCAGAGCTCCGATTTCAATAAAATTATTTTCAAACTGACCGGCTTGATGAGACGGACCCAATGATATAAACACTAGTCCAACATGAGTGAGATCAGGTCCAGATCAAATCATTAAACAACTCTCGGAGGATTTTTGGAGGCATTTGAAAGGTCAATCGAATGTCGAATCGAGTGAGTTCATAGTCGAAGCGAGCGTCTCAAAAAGACGAATCCAACGAGTTCAAGATTACTCAATTCCGACATCGTTAAGGCACTCAAATGTCCATCAAACGTCATTTGATCAAAGGAAACTATCCTAAGAGAAGCTCTCCGGACCATCCGATCAAAATGGTTCATATTCCTGCATTAATTGGACTCAAAACACTATAAATAGAGTCTCACCCCTCACAGGAAAGGGGAGAGACTTAAGAGAGAACTTGAGACTTTGAAAAAGAGCTTAAGTCGAAGATTATTCTCGCCATCGTCGATCGCCGTTGACCACCACTGACCGTCGACAACGACCGCCGACCTCTGTCGACCACCGCCGACCACCGTTAAAAGCCGTCGATCAC